TCTATATGGCTTCTTGAATGTATTTATCAGCCTTGAGGAGCTCAATTTTCAAATTGCGCCGTGATTCGAGAAGCTTTTGTAGTTTCTGGCCTGATTCTGATTCCTTGAGCCAAACTGTTACGATGTGCTGTTACGTTTAAAGAAAGGGACGTGACAAACCTTAATTCAGTACAAAAATAAACGAAACGACAATGAAGACTTGTAACATAACTGCATCCATTTCTACAACCTTTACATCGCCAAACTACTGAGCTAAAGACCTATATGCCTCAAATAGGTGCTCCTGCAATGTGACTAAGATGAGAGTGCAATGCTTAAAGAGCACCCGTTGCTTCTTGTTCAACTTATTTTTCCTCTTAGTGTTAGCAACACATACTTTGTGGTTTTTGCCGTATCTGCGAATGATTCGGAAAGGTTTGATTTCTAATTTATCGTACTGGTGTAACGCCAAGTACTGTTTGCACAAACTCTTATCCTTGTTTTATGACGTCAAGCCAAACCACGATGGTCGATTGTTGGTATAAAAAGGACTCAAAGTTGAACAATTTTACGGATTGAAACTTAGACCGGATGTGGCTAAAAATTTATCATCAAATTCATTGCGGAGTGACGCGGGTAGTTTTTCCAGATGGTGATGCAACGAAAGAGCTTGCACCGAAAATGAAAATCATTGTTGGTTTTATACCCAAAAACGGATGCGGCAGATTTTTTGACTTTAGAAAAGTTTTCGGATAGATTTAGTGGTTGTTGTATAAATTAAGTCGAAGCTCTTTCAATCACTCCGAGTAAACCTGAGGTCCCCGGAGCTTAGGCTTTCTTATACGACTGGGGTTTTTTGAGTTGATATAACTTAGATTGAAACTTTCAAGCGTTCCGGTCCAGAGCGTTACGTTTTGTTCAAAAATCCATTTCTGAATTTATTTTCAGTTTTGTACAGTTTTTATAGAAGGAAGTTTACCAGGTTGAAACAAATTAAAAATTGGGTCCATTTATTCACAAAAACTATAACCCTTGCCTTATTGTTAGGGTGCACATTTTTGGTCCAGAGTTTTCAGAAAAATTGAAGGACTTGTTTCTTAAGTGAAAAATTTTTATCGAAAAAAGTGTCTAGTACATGTTACCGTGTTTTTCCATAGTTAATCCATGAAAAGCTTTAAAGTGCATCAAAGACTTTCTGAAATGGATTGCAAAACTGACTATTGCAAAAATTTAAGCGTCAAACTATGGTTTAGGTCCGTCTTACAGCGTTCGTTCGCTGCTTTACTCAGCTGTGATCACTGCTGTAACATCCAGAGTAGTCACAAATAGTTGCCCCGAGCACCCAAGGTTAGTCGCAAAACTCACAGGTGGTGCCCCACAAGTAGTCGCCCCGAGACACACTGGGTAATTGCACCGAGACAAACACAGGATCCAGGTTAGTCGTCCGACACAAACAGGGTAGCTGTTCCAACACACTGGGTAGTTGCGCCGAGACGCACAAAAAAACAAGCTCAAAAAGGCCTCCGATGGGTATGATTGAAGCTAGCGACCTGCCCCTTCCGGCTACTGGCTACTGTACCGCTACACAGAGCAATCGGCGAGACACTGTCCTCCTACTGTAGAGGCCTTGTCCGACACTAGCCCTGTCCGGCTGATGTAGAGCCACTGTCCGACTCTTGCTGTGTCATTGCCTTGCCCTGTCTCGCTACTGTATTCAGTGATACACTGGCTCCCGGGACTCCGCAACAAAAAATGCTAACTCAAACTACACTGCGATCAAAACTATAACTCATCAGGGATTAAATTCGAATATTTTTCTACATTCCATATGCTTTTTATGACAAAAAAGCTATATTCAGCACCGAAGTGTTGAGCGTCTCAGTGTGTTCAAGCTTTGGCAAATCACGGTTTTGATAGACGAAAACTTGTCAATCATGGTCGGCCAATGCCGTTTTATGAACTAGTTTAAATAGCTTAACAAACAGAAAAGGTTTTTCTGGGGGGCTCGAACCCGATTACTGAACGAAAATTTATGCCCCTTCAAGTTCGGCGCATATTTGAGTTTTAGAAAGGAAATGACCTAGGCTTGATTCGAACTTAGGCCGAACCCGCCGGAACGCACTGTGTATACGTCTATGTAGTCACTGTTTCACTACGAAGCCGACTGTGCTTTCTGTGCATTGTAAAACGGATTCCGCAACGGCGAAAATCAGATTTTTCAAGGAATCCGCAACTTTGCTAGTTTTTAATCTTCTTTGCTGTTTCGGATTCCAGAAACAAAGACTTATAACATTGTACCGCTGCAAAAATAAGCGAATTTGCGGAATCCGCAACTGTAATTCAGGAATCCAGAACAATTTGTGGATTCCACAAACAAATAAGAGGACATGTGTAGAGTAATTGAGATGACGCGGAATCCTCAATTGTAAGCGGAATCCACAATTTGTAAGTGAACTTCGCAAACTGTAATTGGAATCCCTATTTTGTTTGCGGATTTCACTTAAATTTGCGGATTCCACTTACTTCTTGCGGAATCCGCTTACAGTTGCGAAATCCAGAACAACTAGCTATATTTGCTTGTTGCGGAATCCGCAACAAAACAAATGTACCGACAAAATCTAAGTTACAGATATTTGTACGCGAAGTCCCCGAAACTTTTGTAAGGGGAACCCACTTACTTTTCATCCACTTACAAAAATGTGCGCCTATCCAGTGCACTGTTTGGCCTCGTATTAATGCAACTATAGTTCAAACTTATTTTTTCCTCACATTTTCTCAGCATCAGCGTGACACTTACCTGACAATTTTTTTGCATAAAAGTTCCTATGAAAAAAGTGACCGTGATGAAAAAAGTGGCAGTGATTTGGGTTATTTACAAATAGCGTGACAGTTACCTGACAATTTTTTTTTTGCATAGATGTTCCTATGAAAAAAAGTGGCCGTGATTCGAGGTATTCATAAATAGCGTGACAGTTACATGGCTTTTTTACATTTATGTTCCGATGAAAAAAACCAGAGATATTGAGCAAATATTCGGTCTAAACAACAAATATATAAAAAAAAATTCAGTTTAATTTTCAGTTTTGATCAGAATTTGAGATTTATCAGCTTTTGAATATAACTAAATAAGACCATATTTTGTCAGAAAGTTTTCCACCTAAAATTTTTTTCTCAGACTATCCGACGGCCAATAAATTGTTAATTTTAGCAGGTATTCGAACTAAGTAACATATGAACTCTTAAGTTTGATTTAAAAATACTATTTTGGCACAGTCTTTTTTAGTTAAGTTTAGAAAAGACTTTTTATGCTGGTTATACAAAAACATTGTTAGCCTTATTTTCATTCAGATGGTTCTGGCTATTACTGTAATTATCGTAAACTTGTACTGTTTGGCGAGCTACATATTTGTGGACAAACTGAGAGAGCGGGACTTCTATTTGCTCTTTTTGCAGACTTTGATAGATCTGATATCCATGTCGACCTCACTGATGTATACACTCATTGCTTATTTCTGGTGGTACCACGAAGTGTGCTCCAACTCCACATATGATGAGGAGGAGTACGTATATACAAACTGAATTTATAAACATAAATCATATAAGTGTATGTTTTTTTAAGTTTTCAAAATGTTGCTTCTTGTGGTCTAAGAATATGATAACAACCTGCAGCCAAATCATTCCAGCTTGTCATCCTCTACAAACAAATTCTGACCGAGATCAGCTGAATCTTTTTCGAAATAGGAAAAGTGGAGAAACCAAAACTTCGGATGTTATGGAAAGTTTCAGATGGGGGAGCTTCTTACAAGTTACCCATTTGAGAACCGTTATTCCCCCTCTCAGAGCACACCAAACATCATATTAGACCTAACTCAGTAACATTTTTATGCAATTAGATAATTCTTGTTAGAAAAAATTGATGACAACTGGGCTAGTTCATTGTTATTAGGGGTGCACCGATTTTAAGGAAAAAAACTTTTCTTGCCAAGATTTACCCCGTTCGATTTCTAAATTTTTCTAGTAAAATCAAAAAAATTCAAGCGTTTTTTGCTGAATAGTTTTAACGAATGTGTGCAATTCAAGTTATTGTTCATGAATTGTATTAAAAAAGTTTTAATTTTCGCCGAATATTTTTGAAAAAGACGGATTAAAAATACTGTAAAAAGATAAACTAATTATCCATTAATTCACCAATATTTCGTTTTGTTGGGTACGGTAATGTTCTTGGCTTTATCTATCTGAATGTGATTTTGACAAAGCCAGCAACTTTGATCATGCGATCTTGATAAAGCTGCGGATAGTAAAAACCTGTCAGCAACAAATGCAGCTTAAGATATAATTTAACGTTAAAAATCGAAGCTGATAAAAATTTTCCACGGTTTTTTCAGCAAAAACCTTTCATAATGTTTCAAAGAAAAAATTCGCTGTTGTTTCGGCTGATTTCCTTCAGCCATCAGGCTATACGAAAAAATCCACTTCGTATCAACCTGATCTGGGAGAGAGCGTAGGCAGAACCGCAACTAGAATAGTCAAAATGGTCTGCAATACTAAAAATGACAGTATTTGCAAAGGACAAAATAGAAATCAGCAACCTCCTGAGAACAAAACCAGCATTAGTCGAATCAACAGAGCCTATATACGAAATTCAGATCTCGGGTGAAGCAGAAGCCGCAAAAAAGACGAGGTGTACGAAATCAAGAAAAAAGAGTCAGTTGGAAAAACCGAGTTCAGAAGGCACGAGAGAAGGGCGTACTTAGTAATTCTTTCCCGTGTGATGAAGCGGAAGCCAAAGTACGGAGCTGTCTGTTTCTCTGCCTAGGTGTGGACGGCCAACGTCAAGAACAACAAAATGACCAAGTCTCGATTTACAAGCTGCAACGAAGAAAGAACTTATGACAATCCTAGAAGATAAATTGTCAAAATCCGAATTATCGTCTTCGAGAGGTACAATTTTCTTTACAGGAAACAAAAGAAGAACGAATCGCTTGAACAATTCCACGCAGATTTGGTGAAACTCGCCTCACGGGCAGACTATGGTGACAGAGAAGACGAGAGTGGTTCAGAGACATCTTTGCAGCTCACTTGAAGGACGGCAAAATAGCGGAGGAGCTATTAGCTAAGACACGAAGCCCATAAGATGCATAAGAAAAGGCAACCCGCCGGGAAAAAGGGTTCGAACAGGGCCGAGTTTTGAAAACAAATCCATTCGGAACAACAACAACAACACTGAAAGTAGAACCAATGAGTTAGATCAATTCTCGAGGTAGAGCTGGACAAATCAACCACCAAAACTTGCAAAGAGGACGAAGTGGATTTCGAGGACGACAAAACACCGTACGTCGAACGAATGAAACAAAGCTACAAATGAGGAAGACAATTTGGCCCAAATCACTTACAATCATGTCCCACAAGAGATAAATTTTCCACGAAACGCGCAATAGAAGGACGTTTTTCAAGTTTGTGTATGTCTACAAACTTTATCTATCTACAAGATAAAAACTAAGAAAAAGAGGAAAAAACCGAAACAACAAACGAAAAGGAAGAAAATGTCTCAGTAGCGTTAAACAGCTCCACGTCCACGAAGGGCTGGGAAGAATTCCCACTGAACAATTACTCAGTAATAGTAAAATCTCAGGCTTTCGAAATAAAAAAAATTAAGCAGAAATTACTGAAGATTATCTAAACGGACATATTTTGAACTAAAAGCAAGAAGGAGGCCCAATGTCGATTTTGACAAAAAAAACAGTACAAAAACTACGAAATAACGGCAACAATCAACATTCCACCGGAAGACGCTGTGCAAAACTAAGCATGTTGAAATGGTGAATTCATCGTTCCAAAGGGAAGACTGATAATTGCAATACAATCCGAGGGATGGAGATATCGGTCATTGCCGTTCATCCTAGTGGATGACCAGAAAGCAAATGTAATAAGAAAAAATCTATTATCACAAATTGGCATAAAATTGGTAAAAGAAAAAACTAGCAAATCCCGTTGGTTAAACACGTTAGAGAACAATGCAACTTAATCCTATTGGAGGCAACGCCACCGGGACCTACCAGTTCCAGACGGGATTCTACGGCTTAACAGATATGCCGGCAGATTTCCAGAAGCTAATAGATGTGACAATACTGAACTGCAAGAATATATACCCCTACTCAGACGACAAAAAAAGTGAGAAAGTTATCACTAGAACTGCATGAGGAAACACTTAAAACAGTCTTACGAAAACTGGACGAAGAAAACATAGCAATCTCACTCGACAAAAGCAAGTTTGCAAAAACAAACATTGAATGGTTAGGGTGCAATATAAATAATGAGGGCACTAAATCACTCATTTATAAAAGCGAGGCAACCAAAAACTAACCCCAATAAGAACATTCAAGCAACTAAAGAGTTTCACGGGTTCAATACACCACCTCACTGGGTACATTCCAAGTCTGGCGCAAACTACCGCCGCACTGCGTCGACTCCTAAGAAACACAGACAAAAAACACTTGATTCGAAAACAACTTAGCCTTCAAAAACATCCTAAAACCAGTATATGATAAAAGCACAGAAAAAAATTTTGAGCGAAAGCTAGAGATCCGCGTGGTTTGTGACACTTTAACTTCCGGTCTTTGGGCGGTCCTAGAACATTATATCAAAAAAGATCATATGGCGATAGCTTACGCATCCAGTTTCTTATAATCTCTAGAAAACAAAACTCAGTAAGCGAACTTGAATTACTACGGGTAGTTTTGGGCAATCAAACATTTCAAAAATTACTTGTCGGGAAAAACTTTTTTCGTCATCACAAATCACCAAGCTTTACTGAACGATGAAAACTGGATGAAGAAAACATAGCAATCTCACTCGAAAAAAGTTAGCTTGCATGCGAACAAATTGAATGGTTAGGATAAAACAAAAATAGAGAGTCCGCTAAACTACTAATTTAGAAAACCTAGGCCAGCGAAAAACTAACCCCAACAAGAATACTCAAGCAACTAAAGAGTTTCATAGGTGCATTAGCCCAACACACCCGGTAAATTCCACATGTGGTGCAAACTGCCCCCGCGCTACCAACTCCTAAGAAACACAATCAAAAACAAAACACTTGATTGGAAACCAATTAAGCATTCAATAATACCCTAAAACTAGTATCAGAATTAACACAGAATCAACTTCTTGACCAAAACTAAGAGATCGGCGTGGTTTATGACGCTTCACTTTCCGGTCTGGGGGCGGCCCTAGATCAACATACAAAAAAAAGATTGGATCGCCAATCTTACGCATCAAATTCTTAAGTTTTTTTCTAGAAAAAGGTACTAATTAAACGAGCTTGAAATACTACTGGTAGTTTGGACTTTCAAACATTTCGAATATTACTTGCCAGTAAAAATTTTCACCATCATCATAGACCAACAAGCTCTAATCAAAGCAATAAGCCAAAGCAAAAGCTCTGAAACCAGTCAGAGCCAACAAGATGGATCGAACGATTAATCCCCTTTAATTTTGACAAAAAAATATTTGGCGGGAAACAAAATGCAATTATTAGACTATATGTCAAGAAATCCAGTTGGATTGAAAAATTTCCAAGCGCTTATGATGAGGGTTTTGTAGTGGCGTCATTTAACTCATTCATAAAATATCTTGAGAAGATTGACAACATCATACTAAACAATCTAGGTAATAAGAATAGGGCACCATATCGGCTGATCAAAAAGCGCGCCAAAAATTGAAAAATGTGAACAACTCGAACAAAACCTCGAGTACACTTCAAACCTTCTGCATATTCGGAAAGCGGTCTACTAAAACATTCGAAAGAATCCGATCAGTTTGTTAAGAAACCACTCAAAATCCAGTTGAAAAGCAACCCAAAAATTAGACAACAATATTCGTCAATCTGATCCAAAAATTGACACAACAAAATAAAATGAGGAGACGACTTTAAAAAAACTTTCAAGGGTGGTTTTTTCTCGGAGGATCGTATCCCTAAACGCGGCCGAAATTACAACAAGGACAACAAATGGCAAAGCGAATCGGACCGCGAGGAAAGTATATCAGATCAACCTTGGAAGAAAAACAACAACAACAACCTATGAAAGTTCGACATCATTCGGTACTCGAGTATCAAAAAGACCCTTACAGATTGAAGTTAAGGACGCGAGGGAATTTAAAGTCTATTCATCTAAAAAGAAGACCTTATTCCCGAAAAATATCTTAAACATGACATCAATGTAACTGAAAAACAGACAAAAGATGGAAAAACAAATCAACAGCCTTGACTCACAAACAGAAAAGCCAATATCCACGATAGCAAGGCAAGCAGAGTCCCACACTCTTAAACCGAACTATCCATAACAAAACATGAAACTTACAAGTACTGAGCGAGCCGCGTAGATCCTACACAATACAGCCAGGAGGAGCCATATACAACATAGAACCATCGGCGATAACATCCAAAAAAACACAACAGCAAACAAAACTTGAAGCCAGCCATGAGATGATCACGGAAGGACTAGTAACGACGCTGGATTGGTAAAACAACACAAAAATGGAAGAGGACACGCCATTGTTCAGAAGAAAACTAAAAGAAATCCTAGGAATTCAATTGACCGCCGCCGCCACGAAAAGAGACAAAAACATGCGCCCTCTACTCAACTAACATCGTCAAGAAACGGGATTGGAACGCAATGAAATTATCCGATGGACAATACTGGACAATAATTCGAAGTAAGAAAAACTCTGAAGATATAACTGAAGATTATCTAAACGAACGAACAGTTGAACTAAAAACAAAGACGGAAGCACAATTTGCCATTGCAGAATCGGGAAGCCCAATGTCGTTTTTGAACAAAAAATAGTGCAAAGACTTCGAAATAGCCGCAAATCAACAATATTGAAAAAAAATCTCACCGCAAGAGGCGGTGCAAAATTTGAAATGGTCAATTCTTTATTCCAAAGGGAAGAATGACGATAGAATCCGGGGGATGGAGAATACAGTCAGCACCGTTCATCCTTTGGATGACCAAAAAGCAAATGTAATAGGAAGAAATCTATCACCAAAAATTGGCATAAAGTTGGTACAAGAAAAAAACTCGCACATGCTGTTGGATAAACAAACCGGAGAAAAATGCAACTTTGGTCCTTTTGGAGGCAACGCATCAGTTTCAGACGGGATTCTACGTCCTTACAGATATGCCGGCAGAATTCCAGGAACTAATAGATCTGACATTAAGTAGCTGCAAAAACACAATAGCCTAATAAGTCGACATTGTAATAGTGACCAAAGGATCATTAGAACAACTTGAAGAAACACTAAAAACCGTTTTACAAAATAGGACGAAGAAAACATAGCAACCTCACTCGACAAAAGATAGTTTGCTTGCAAAAAAAATGAACGGTTAGGATAAAACAAAAATAGATAGGTCACTAAATCACAAATTTAGAAAACCGAGGCAAGCGAAAAACTAACCCCAACAAGAATATTCAAGCAAATAAAGAGTTTCATGGGTGCATTAGCCCAACACACCCGGTACATTCCACATGTGCTGCAAACTGCCCCCGCACTGCCAACTAAAACACTTGATTGGAAATCAATTAAGCATACAAAAATAAAACACTTGATTGGAAACCAATTAAGCATTCATAATACCCTAAAACTAGCATCAGAAATATCACAAAATAAATTTCTCGACCAAAACTAAGAGATCCGCATGGCTTGTGACGCTTCATTTTCCGTTGTAGGGGCGGCCCTAGATCAACATACCAAAAAAAGATTGGATGGCAAATCTTACGAATCGAATTTCTTATTTTTTTTTTTGAAAAAGGTACTTATTAAATGAGCTTGAATTACTACGGGGAGTTTGGACAACCAAACATTTCGAATATTACTTGCCGGTAAAAATTTTCACCATCATCGAAGACCACCAAGCTCTAATCAAAGAAATCAAATAGAAGCGAAAGATCAGAAACCAGTCAGAGTAGGCCAACAAGATGGATTGACCAATTAATCCCCTTTAATTTTGACAAAAATATTTGGCGGGAAACAAAATGCATTTATTAGACTACCTGTTGCGAAACTCGG